CTCAGTCGCGCCCTTGCTGCGGCCCCAACGGGAAAGCACCAGCCACTCTGGCCCATCGCTGTGGCGTCGGCGATGGTGGTGCTGCGGATGCCGCCGCAGCTGCGGGCGTTGCAGCTGCTGCGTTCCCCACTCCTGCCGCGCGGACTGGCAGCGTAGTTGCCTTATCCGTCGGTTGAGCAGAATCCTGTCGCGCGCGGCCCACAAGATCGCCCAACTCCTGGCGTAGTCACAGAAATTCGGCCTCATGAGGGTTGGGCGATTCTGATGAAGACGATGAAATGCCACCTCAACTTGGCCAATTGCTCTGGCCAGCTGCCTGCCTGGAGCAGTCGGGCGAACCGCTGGGGACTGCTGGTGCCGGCGCTGGCCGCGCAGTTGCCGAAGCTGGAGTCGGCTGGCCGCCGCTCCAACGGTCGGCACTCGGCGCGGGGCAACCGTCGTCGGGCCCCAGAACCGTAGTTTCAGGCATCCCATAAGTTTCCCTGGTCGCCCAGACCGAATGGGCACCTGATGCTGGACGCTGAGCGGCTGGCCCCAGCGCTCCGCGGTGACCCGGGTGCGCGAGCGTCGACGGCGCCGACGTCGGCGGCGGCGGCGCTGCCGAGGCAAGGGCACTGAGGAAGAAGGCGCGCCCCTGCCGGCGCCGACGGGGACTATCGCGCAGGACGTGCCCATTTGAGTCGCACTCGTGGCACTTGAAACATGTCCCGTCTGGGCCCAGTGGGTTGCCTTGTCGGCCGAATCCCTCTCCACCAGTCCGACGCTCGCCCTTGCCCCCGCCCCTGACTCACCCGAAGCCTGCGAAGGTCGCGCGGAGGTCGGCGTCGGACAACTCGACCAGGATCGCGCGGTGGCCTTCTCCGTGGCCCTCGCCCTGACGTTTAATGACCCCCTGCGCGCGGCGCCTGCCTTGCTGTCTTTGAAGCGGCGCCGCCGGGACTTGGCGCGCCCGCGAGCCCAAGAGAGGCGCGCGCCGCACTCCCCCGCAGAAGCTTCGCGCAGTTCGGCGTCGTCGGCAGCGATCTCTTCGCTGAGTGGGCCGACGGCGTCGGAGTCGCGAAGGGCCCGTGCCGCCCTGGCTCGATCTGGCTTTGGTATCATGGGCACTCCTATCCCGATCGCGCGCGGGCGCGCCCGCGAGCGGGCGCACTCGCGACGAGCGCTCGGCGGCGGGGCGAATGCGCGGCCGAGGCGAGATTTTTTGGCTAGCCTTCGACCATGTGACCGAAGCGTCGCAGCTGGCCCATCACGCGTGCCAGGCGTGGCGCGTCTGTCGAGTAGGCCGCGCTGCAGTGCTGCGAGATCATGGCAAGCTGGAGTTCGACGCGCCCGCTGCGGGAAGTAAGGTGGCTGAGGCCCTCTCAGCCGATCGCAAGTTGACAGGCCTGCTGCGCCCTGTTGCGGGGGGAGTCAGACCTGGCGAGAATGTGGTCGATGCGATCCTTCAGCAATCAGTTGAAGTTCACCAAGGCCGAAAAAGCCTGCATGCGCCCCACGTCTCCAAGCTGGCACCGCGGTTCGGCGATGCTGCGCATGCGGTAGGTCACAGGCGGCGCTGGGCTGCCGTTGATATGACCCGCTTGGGCGAAGACAGCCGGCGGCCACTCGCCCACGCATTCGCGGGCCACGCCAGCCGAGCGATACGCGAAGCAGGCCGCTTGGCGGAACTCGTCGAGGTCGGACTTCGCCGCTGACCAGATTATGGCTTCCCGCGTCCAGCGTTGGAAGGGCGCGCGAACGTGCTGCTCGCGCCTCCAGGTGCGGCGACGTTGCGCGTCGCCGCTGCCGCCGCCGCCTGCGCCGACGCATGCGACGCAGCTGATGGCGGCGACGACGCCCGCTCCGACGGCCTCCCATCCAGAGCGGGGCCCCCGTCCAGGTGTCGAGGAGGCGCGACTGTCCTGGTGCCGGCCAACGGCGGTGATCTGGTAGCGATCCTCGAAACCGTCGTGGGCATCTGTCCCTGGCGCGCCCCTCCTCATCAGCGCATCGCGCATTTTCTTCCGTCGCGCGATTGGCGCGCGGGCTGCTCTCAGAGCACCCCGCCGCGCAGTGGCGAGAGAACCCGTCGCGCGTCGCACTGCCGCAATGCAACTATGCGATATTCACGGGGAGTACGCACAGGGATCCAGGTCTGCCAGAGGTGACGGGGCGCGTAGAGAACGTCGAGGGTCATGTCCCGGAGAACTGATAACGAAGTATGGCGCTGCAATTGCCCGACCCCCGGTCGCATTCCCGCCCTTGTCTGCGCGCGCCTCCCCCGGCTCCCACAACGCAGTTGAGTAGAACTCGGGGCGCTCTGCCGACGCCGACGATGCGAGCGTCGGATCGAGCGACTGCTTGACGTAGTCGGCAACACCCACGCGTGGACGCAATGAGGGCGACGCGTCATTTTCCTCTTCCCCCTCGGGTTTCCGCAACGCAGTTGCGAAGAGCTCGGGGCCCTGCCGACGCCGTGAACGTGAAATCGGACCGCTCGACGGTCTAACGCTGACGTCGGCGCTCATTTGGCGAGTGCTGCGATGACGAAGGGTCCCGATTTATCTCGAGCACAATTCGAAAATGCTCGGGGGGGAAAGGCGCGGGGGGCGCTGTCCTTGACGTCGTAGTCCTTGAAAGTCTACCCGCTCTCCCGCACCGTCGCGGTTCCTGCCGGGTGGGCGGCTGGTGCCCCGACTGTCGCGAAAGAGCTGTCCCTGGCCTCGGCTATCTGGTGGTGGCGCACGGCGGCGAGCGCGCTGCAGAGCGCGCGGCGACATGTGGAACATGATGGTGTAGAGCGCGATCTATAGCGGAAGCCGCTTGCGCAAGGGAGTACCACGCGGACCATGACGGTTGTGGACGACGGAGCAACGTGATCCGCTACCAACTAAGACTGTAAAGCGGCGGGAAAGAGAGGTTCCTCTCACTGAGGTGTAGAGCGGTGTCTACCAGTAACCAGTAGGTGTGATTGCTAGCAAGGGCATTACAGTGGGCGCGGGAGGCTAGCCTGAAGACAGCTTGGCAGCGGAGAATGAACCCTCCCACACCCGACAAGCATCGAAACTTTCCCTTCGAGTATAGGAGGAGGATAGTGATGATGATGATGATGATGATGATGATGAGGAGGAGGAGGAGGAGGAGGAGGAGGAGGACGAGAGGGACGACGCCACCCAGTCCATTTTATGGCTGTGTGCATGTGTTCGCGTGCGGATGAAGGAAGGAATGTATGTATGTGTGTATGTAGGTGTACGACTATACATGCATCTGCAAATACACATACACCAACAATTCCAACAGGTCGGGTGGCATCCCGACCATATGAAATACTAGTTTGATACGGCCTGTGCGGCCGAAGGGACTCCCACAACAGCCCGACCTCCCGCCTTGCCCTGGTCCTCCTGCTCCTCCTGCTCGTCCTGCTAGTACTGCTGCTCCACCTCCTCCTCCTCCTCCTCCTCCTGCTCCTCCTCTTCTTTCATCCTTCTTCATGCTCCTCATCTTCCTCCTGCTCATCGTTCTGTTCATCTGCAGCCTCCTCCCCCTCCTCCTCCAGTGTACACAGCTTTCATTTCTGATTGCACATTGCACACTGGTGTACCCTGGGGAATCCAGATCCGAGAGGATGTCTGTTGGCGGATCAAGACAAATTCAGCGACATGGATTGGTAGGGATGCGGGAAGAGTTGGATGTCCGATATGGCGCGCGCGCCTAGCTTGCCCCCCCTCTCTACCCTCCCGTCGCCATTCCCCTTCCCTCAACCCTCCCTCTCCCCTTCCTGCCAGCCCAAACATCCGATGTCGTGATTTGTTCAATCCGGGGTCCCCGGAAGGCCCGACCCTTTCCCCAGGGGAGATCTTTCATCCCGGGTCGTGGTGTTGCGATCCCAGAGCCCGGCGAGAGCCTCCAGAGGCCGAAAACGGCGAGGAACCTCCGTCTTCTTCTTCCAGACGTCGGACGTGATGTCTGGAGGAAGGAGGGCGGGGCCACTGAAGGGGGCTTTGCGTCTGCGAGGCGGCGCCTGCTGCAGGTCCCCCCCCCGTTGGCAAGGCAGGCGCGGGCCTCCACGGCCGCGCTGCCCCTCGCCTGGAGGGATGGAAGACAACACAAGCACAGAGGTCCATGCGGATCCCCTTCATCGGCGCCCCGGGAAAAGCGCCGCCAGGAGGGCCCTAGCGCCGACCCATGGACTGGCAATCGCTCGGACGTCCATTTCCTGTATTTTTCTCGGTTTCGCGGGTGGCTTTTTCGCCAAATGATCAAGGATGCTCCTCGATGGTCCTCGCCGAAGGAAAAATGCACACGTCCGAGCGATGCCAAGAGGAACCCGTGCGAGAAGGACTTTCGTCCATGACCACCGCCCGGGGGATCGACCGTCGGGGGCCTCGGCAGGCGGTGGACGTGGCCGCCTGCCGAGCCCCCCGAGACTGGTTTTGTGGATGAGCTCCCGCCTCGGAATCCGCGCCGACTTCGGACGACTCGTGTCTGTGCCGCTCTCTCTCCCCCGATTTTGGGGGACCAGAAAGTGCCGACGCCACTGCTCCCTGGACCTCTCCCAAAGCACGTTCTGACCAGAACTTCGAGGAGATCCAGCCGTGGCGACGCGAGCTCTCCAGGATGCGCGGCGGCATCGGTACCTTTTCCTCGGAGCATCGTTTAACGGGTCCCGATCCCTTCGGGCATGGCCTTGGCCCCGCTGGCCGACCCCCCCTAGATAGGGATATAGGCTGTTCTCTCAGAGTCTAGAAGGGTATATCCATGACATGGGTGATGGGATGGTGCGGACTGGGGTAGGGATGGAGATGGGGATAGGGAACGGTTCAACGATACACGTCGGTCGGAAGAAGTAGGTCGAATAATGAAGTAGGAAGGCGCTGGAAAAATATGAAGTTTTCGCCCGCCCCCCGAAGAGGAAGGAAAAGGTGAAACCGCTCGATCGCTGAAGCAGGACGGCGCCCCAAGTAGAACGGGATTCGCAAATTCAGAAACACCTACTTTCAACGATCGACGGGTGCTGATTCTCCTCGGGCCGATCGCCAGCAGCAAGACCAGCGCGAGCCCCGCCGCGCGGGGTGCCCGCGCCCGCAGCGCCGGCGGCCGCTGCATTACATCGCGGAGTGGCGCGCCGCCCAGGGCGGGCCCGGCCCCGGCGCCCCCCCGCGCGGGAGGCCCGGCGGCCCGGGGACCAAGGCTCGTCCGCCCTCCCCCTCCTCCTCCTCCTCCTCCTCCTCCTCCTCCTCCTCCTCCTCCTCCCCCTCCTCTTTGTCGTCGTCGTCGTCGTCGTCGTCGTCCTCCTCCTCCTCCTCCTCCTCCTCCTCCTCCTCCTCCTCCTCCTCCTCCTCCTCACGTGTTCATCATGCTCCCGTTCCTCGTCCTTCTGCTCCTCCTCCTCTTCTCTCCTGCGCCCCTCGCTCCTCGCCCCTCATTTCTTACTCCTCGCTGCTCCTCCTTCTCCTTCTTTCCTGTCGCACCCCGAAGCCAGCTTTTAGGGCGGGCTGGGCATTTCGCTTGAGATTTCCTCACCATTACCCCTGAAGCTTAAACATAGGAAACATCGTCACATATGGGGGGCCAGTCGTTTTCAAAACATTGATTCCAAGAGGGGCGTCTGGCGGAGGTGTCGGAGACGAGGTGCATTTTTCTCTCAGGCACGAGGAAGTTACCAGAGCGGAAACTCGGTCAGAAACGATTGTGCGTGAAGAGAAACGTAACGCGCAAACACTGGAATCGCCGCGGGTCCTGACCCGCAACGGAAAATCATAACAGCGCCAAAGCCCATAACCAGACATGGCCGGCGCCCCTGCGCCAGCAAAGGGAACGTTGGGAAGCGCTGCCTGGCCGGAGCCGTTTGGGTCTCGCCCCAAAGACTCCCATTGCACCAGAAGGCGACGGACCGCGCAGCAGCGCCGAACAGATAATGTCGTGGCATACTTGTGGCCCCTGCGCACACGATGCACAATTAGGCCTGCTCGCCGTCGCTAGAATCGGAATGATCGACGAGCCGCTCTGCGGCCGTCGGCTCTGGGCACTGACATGCCCGAAAGCTGCAGCGCCCCTCCAGCCGCCGCTGAAGAACAAGGCAGCGGGCCCTCCTTGTTGAAGCGCCTCATCTGCAAAACCACGCCTGAATGCGCGAGTCCCCCACGCGGGCGCGCTCCGCAAATGCAGCGCTGCAGCCGCCAGCTTCAAAGCAGCCGGGGCGTCGGCGTAGCGAATCTGCGCATAAGGGGCTGCTTCGCGGCCCCCTAGGAAGAACAACGAACAAACTCCGCACAGCGCCCGGCCCTGCAGTTTGCAACAGCAGCGCCTGGTTGTTTCGCACGGCCCATTGTGACACTTCCTGCGAGCGAAGCGGACCACGCATGCCCTGCGATCGCCGATGCTGAAACGATAAGAAACTGCAGGCCGGCCTAGATTCAACAATGCAGAATATCGCAAGCAAAACTGTCGAGCAATAGCCCGGGTTGCTGCCAGGAGAAAGTACCCCGCGTCGCAACACCATTTGTGAATTCTCTTGGTTTCTTCTGCGGTGGCCCGAATCTTTTCTTTCATGAATATGTCCTGCGTGATCTTATCCGCACCGCGTGCCAATCTTTGCGCGTCTGCCGAGATGCCCAGAGGGGCATTCAAGAGATGCAACGCGCTCCGCATGTGCGACAGATACCTTTGAAGAGTATGGCCATTGCGGAAAAGACCAACGGACGCGTTCGGCACCGATCCTGCCGGCGGCCATTCGTCCCCTGAAATGGTTTTGGCCGCCTGGCCCCACAACCTGACAGCTGAAGCACGCTGCGGGGCGCTCTTTTTTCGCCCCGCGAACTCTATCCGCAAAACGTGCAGATTGAGGTGATCACTGGTGGATCCGTCGAGCCGCGGTTTCTTTACCTCTTCGCGTGGGGCGCCAGAAGGTTCGCCCCCTGGGAAGCATTGGCAGCGGGGGGCAGCGACCAACGCAGCGGCCAACACGGCGCGCGCAGGAACGCTCTGGGAACGCCGGGCCTCGCCAAGAACAGTCAGTGCGGCTCGCTCCTTCGCCTCGCTGTGCGCGCCCATATCTGGCCCACCTGCAGCGCCAAATATATCACCGAGCGTGTTGCCTGCACTTTGGGCTGCCGAGGGCGCGTCTCCGCCCTCTTCATCATTGCGAGCGAGCGCGCAGGAGGGCCGTAAGACCAATCATGCAGGCCGCAAGTCGAGGGCCTCGGCGACGCAGCGGCCCGAGAAGCGCTCGAGAGTCCTTCCAGAGACGCGACCGCCCCGAGCAGCATGCCGCAGAGCACCCCGAAGAGTCCAAGCCCGCCCGGGCCTGGGCCGCGCCGCGCGCCTCGCCCCGTAGAACGAGGCCCCCAGGACGTCCGAGGAGGTGGAGGCCCAAGATCTCGTGCAGAACGAAGCACTTCCCCTCGAAGACACCGATGAACTCGTGAAGTCACTTATCGACCCGTTCCTTCGACATCCCGGAAACGGCCAGGTTGCCACAGCATGGCAGAGCAGTGGGATCGTCCGACGGGGGGGGGGGGCGGGGGGGGCGGGCCAAGCATTCGACATGATGAGATCCTGTCTAAACCCCGCCTCCCTGCGCAACTCGGCGCGCACGGCCTGGGCGGCGCGAGGCGACCGCGCCCAGCCCATCGGCGACGCGAGTGGGCAGGGGAAGACGCCCCTCCTAGGGCAACGGCTCCCCCCGCACATCTGAGTTCGCCCCCCACTTGTTGCTGGGTCAACCGCCGCGGCTCTGAAGCTGAAAACACACACTGAGCGCAGCTGGCACGCCGCGCTGGTAGAAGCAATTCCGGGCGCCCCCCGTTGCCGCACACGTTGTCGGCCGAGCTCATCTCGGGCATAGGAGGGTGGGGGAATAGCTGATTGACACCGCGACAGTCGAGGGCGACTCTCTGACGATGCTTTTTCTTTCTGACGAAGAACGGCGTGATCCTACCATTGGAAGCCTCACTGAACCCCAAGACGCCACGCTCGAAGAGGCTTCTGAGGAAAGGCACGTCGACGCCCTTGTCTGGATTCGGGCGCCGGCGCGGGGCCCCAGGGGGCCACGTCGGAGACGGTGCTCGTCAGCGTCGGCATCGGCCAAAATATTCTCGAGGTCGAGGCAGCGGCCGAGCTCGGGAGAACGACGTCAGTCAGAACGACTGGCGAGGCCTGCCAATTGGGCAAGGGCACCTCGGTCGGGTCGCATGGTTCGACCGCGCACGCGAGCGCCTCGTAATCCACGCTGGCACCAACCAACTCGCAGACAGTGCATGAGCGGGAAGTCCCGGAGCGATAATGGAGAACAGATGCTGGTGAATCGCGCTGCGCGCGGAGCTGCAGCCGCCCGCGGCATGCGGGTCGCGCCCGATGAGCAGGCCCAGGCCGTCGACTGCCTCCTGCGCCGCCGACTGGACGGCGAGCCACCGCTCGCGGTGCAGCCGAGCCTTCCCCCCGCTGCCGCCCCCAGGGCGCTGGCCTCGAGGGGCGTCGGGAAGGGGGAGAGACCGCGGCTGCGCTGATCTCCCGCTGCCTCTCGCCGTCGACGAGGCCAGGCCCCAGGACGGCGTGCAGCGAAATTGCTGCCCGAGGAGACCCCCATCAGACATCATGCCAGCGTTCGCGTCGAAGATGAGGGCAGCTGCTGGCGTCGCCACCCCCGCTCCTTTCTTCATCTCTTGGCGGAGGCCGCGGGGTCTGCCCCGGCCTTCGCGGTCGCGACGCCGGTGGCCCTGGCCTCCAGAGCCTTCTTCTTCTCCTTCAAGGTCGCTGATGCCGAAGCAGCGGTCGCCGCCCTCGTAGCTCGCGGCGTCGGGGTTCTCGGCCACCGACTCCTCGTGCAACGTGATCCTTCGCAGAAGGTGCTCGGCCCCCACCATGTTCTTGACGTTGAGTCCATCGGCCGTCGCTAGCAGGTGGACCGCGCGATGGAGAGTTGAGTGCTCGTGGGCTGCCGAGCTGCGTGGCCTCGCGCCGCCGTCACTACGCCGCTCGTCAGCTCGCGCGACCAGGCTGGCGACGACGCCCCTGATCACCGAGTGGATCTATTCGGCCCCGACGGACGGCCCGAGCAACGGGGGCGGAGGCAAACCCTCCGCCTGGCGCGTGCACGCCGTTATGAGCCCGACGGCCTCGACCAGGGCGCGCTCGGTCTGGGCCCTCGGGTCGTCGCAGAGCAAGTTGCCGCGAGCGAGAGCCCACCGCGCGATGCCCGCCCCTTCGGCGAGCATCTCGAGGCTGGCGACGACCCCGTCGATGACCACAAGCGCCATGGACCCCAACGCCGCGGCCCCCACGGGCATCGCGAACTCGGCCCCGACGTCGTGGCCGATGAGGGGCTCCGCGAGGACCCAGGCGCCGCCTGCGGGAGCGAAGCGGGCTCCTCCAGGCGCGGGAACCACTGCGTGCACGGGCGTCGCCGCGGTGGCAGCGCCGCCAATCGCGCGCACGGCGTCGCCCAGCCTCGGGAGCCTACGGCGGGCGCGCTCGAGGTTGCAAGCCTGGCCCGCCTCGGCGAGCAGCTCACTGATCTCCGCGGCCGTCAGCGGGGCGGAGGTGTAGAGCACGCTGCCAAGGCTGGGAACGCCGCGCGGCCGCACGTCGATGGTGACCGAGAAATGGATCCTTTCCAAGTCCGCGTTGTTCAAACTGTTCCACGGAACCGTCGTAATCGGGGGACACGACCGCATGCTCATCTTTCTCCACATGTGCGCCCAAGAGCCGCGCGTGATGCTCGGCGGCGCCGTAATGGACCATGGCCGCAGAGCCACGGTCACGGTCCAGCGCGGCGGAAGCAACGGCTCCTGCCGCCGCCATCTCGATCAGAGGCCGTCAGCGGGCGCCTTGACCGCAACGCCCTTGCCGCCCTTCTTGCCCTTCGGGGATGGATCCCGCAGTCGCCTCCCCGCCCGCTCTCGCGGGCCCATGGGGGGCCCGCCGGTGACGGCCGCCCGCGGCGGCGACGAGGCAGGGAAGCCCACTGCCCCTCGGCGGATCAGATCCTGGGCCACAGCCACGAGCACCGAGAGCGCGACCGCGATGCCCGCGAGCGCGCCGAGGAGGAACACCCCGCTCGGCCGCAGGAGGCGGCGCTGGCCCGCAGTGCTCCAACTGCTTCGCCAGAGCCGCGCCGAAGCTGGGATCACCACGGCAATCACAATCGCAGTGGCAGTGTTGGGGGCATTCGCGGACAAACTGACCGATGGCAGCCCCTGACGCGGCCGCTCCCAGCTGCAAGAGGAGCGGCCGCGCCTGCCCGAAGACCATTCTCGAACCAGAACGGGCTGCTGAACCATACATATATATGTATATATATACACATACATACACACATGCATATATATATATATATATATGTGTGTGTATTATATATAATATGTATTATATATATATATATATTCATTCATGTATACATATTCATATTCATATACATATATATATATATATACCAGAGAAGACGCCCTCGCGACGCTACTCCCTCAGAGGAATCAACCACCAGCAAAGCAGTTAGAGGCGCTCGCCTTAGCGCCGCGCACACTCGTGTTAAACATTCGCAGTAAACTCACGGACTGGGGGCGGGTCGTTTTCAAAATGTAGCTCTCGCCTTGACGCCGCGCGCATTCGTTCTCAAAGTTAGCAAGAGCTTCACGGATTGACGGCGGTTCCATTTTCAAAATGTAATTCTCGCCTTAGCGCCGCGTACATTCGTTCTAACGCAAACCTTTCGCGGATTGAGGGCGGTTCCCTGTTCAAAATGTGGTTCGCGCCTTAGCGCCGCGCAAATTCGTATTCAAACGTTTCCAAAGTTTGACGGGTTCTCATGATCTGCGTACCAGAAATGGATTTTTGTGGGCGCCCAACGCCATCGAAAGCGCGCGCGCTCGCTTGTGCTGCGTTGTGCGCGGGCACAAATTTCGCGCCCGCGCCTGGCCCGCGCGCGGGCGGGCAAGCTGGGCGCGCGGGCCGCCTCCCGCTGTCCTGCGCCGCGCGGCGCGCGGCCCCACGAGAAGGGCCCGCGCGCGCGAGGCGGGGGGGCGTCAGCATGTGCCTCGCGGCCGTGGCTAGTCTGCTCTTCTGCTCGCTTTGCGTCGAACGCCCCGTGCAGGCGCGCCGCGGGGATCGCGTCGGGGCGGTTCGCGGCGCGCCTCGGGGTCGCGCGGCCGCCTCCCGCTTTCCTGCGCCGCGCGGCGCGCGGCCCCGCGAGAAGGGCCCGCGCGCGCGAGGCGGGGGGGCGTCAGCATGTGCCTCGCGGCCGTGGCTAGTCTGCTCTTCTGCTCGCTTTGCGTCGAACGCCCCGTGCAGGCGCGCCGCGGGGATCGCGTCGGGGCGGTTCGCGGCGCGCCTCGGGGTCGTGCGACGTGCAGGCAGTGGTGCCTGCATCTCGCAGGCATGTGCGCTTGCGTCCCGCCGTGGCGGACGGCGCGCGCGCTTTCGCGGTCGTGGCTGCCCGTCGTGTCGTGGCTGCTTGTCGTGTCGTGTCCTGGCTGCTTGTCGTGGCTTGTTGGTCGCCGTGTCGTGGCCGTCTGTCGTGGCTGCCCTCCTGGCTGCTTTGCTTCCTGTCGGGGGCGTCTGGCTGGTCGTGTCGCGGCTGTCCTTCGGTGCGTCGTGGGCGTCGCGTCGTGGCGTCTTGCCGCCGTGTCGGGGCGGTCTGGCCTGTCGTTCGCCGCCGCGCGCGCGCGCCGGTCGCCGCTCTCTTCTCCCTGTGCAGGTTCCTTCCTCGCTCCCTCCTCCGCCAGGCGCAGGTACATCCATCTTCCTCTTCGACAAGATCCCCTCGTCTGTTTTGCTGGCTCGATCGAGGTCAGGGCTTCCCTCTGGCGTGGGCTGGCCCACGCTCTGGCTCCGCCCTCGCGCGTTCTCTCGGCTGGTCTCCTCGCGCGCTCGCTTGCCCGCGTGGCTTCTCGCGCGTTGTGTGCGCCACCTGCTCCTCGTCTGGCAATTATGAGGCCCTCTTGGTTCCTTCGCTGGCGCAGGCCAATACGGCTTGCCCCCACACGGGCGCATATCGTCCGCCGTCCCCACGTGGCCATGCGGGGCCAATGCGGCTTTCGCAGGTGCGCGGGCCCAGTCGGCCCATGCAGTTGGCGCTCTTGCACCCAATCGGCTTCCAACGCCGGCGCAGGCCAATACGGCTTGCTATCGCACGGGCGCATATTGTCCGTCGGCCCCAAGTGGCCGTGCGGGGCCAACACGGCCCTCGCAAGTGCTCCGGCGCAGGCCAATACGGCTTGTCATTATACGGGCGCATACTGTCCGTCGGCCCCACGTGGCCATGCGGGGCCAATACGGCTTTCGCAGGTGTGCGAGCCCAGTCGGCCCAAGCTGTTGGCTGCTCTTGCACCCAGTCGGCTTCCAACGCTGGTGCAGGCCGATGCGGCTTGCTTTCGCACGGGCGCATATTGTCCGTCGGCCCCGAGTGGCCGTGCGGGGCCAATACGGCCCTCGCAAATGCTCCGGCGCAGGCCAATACGGCTTGTCATTATACGGGCGCATATTGTCCGTTGGCCCCACGTGGCCATGCGGGCCCAATACGGCTTTCGCAGGTGCGCGGGCCCATCGGCCCAACTGGTCCTGCTCCACCCAACCGGCTTCAGACCCGCGGCAAGCCATACGCTTGCGTTTCCACGCCCATACTGCCGGTTTTGCCCCGGTTTTTCGCCCCAAGGCCGTGCGGGGCCAAATCGGCCCTCGCAAACGCGCGGGCCCATTCGGCCCCAGCGCTCAGTGGCTCTGGTGCAGGCCACTACGGCTTGGCATTTTACGGGCGCTTATTGTCCGTCGGCCCAGAGCGGCCACGCGCGGCCAATGCGGCCTGCGCCGCAGCGTGGGCGCTCCCTTCGCGTCGTCGCGTCACCTTCCGTCAGCGTCAAGCGCAGCAACGGCTGAGTCTTGTGCTGTGCGCGCGCAACGCACTGCTTCGCGATGGCCGAAGCCGCGCCGGAGACTGTTCGCGCTTTTCTCCAGCGCGTCGAGGGGGCGGGCGCGCAGGAGGCCGCCTGGTTCGACTCGGTCGCAGCGGCGCTGGCAGCCGAGAGCATCACCGTGCCCTCAGAGCTGGCCAGGGCCAAGTTTGAGGACTTCCGCTTCCAGAATGCCGATCTGGATGGCGGCAAGAAGCGCTGCGTCCGCGCGGCCATCAAGTTGGCCGGGCGCGAGAAGGCCGGCGTTCCCGCGCGGCGCGAGCGGCGCGCGCGTGCACGCTCGCGCGCAGGGTGATATGAAGTAGCTGCAGACGGCCGCGGGATCGGCCAGCGGGGACGCCAGTGCCGCCCTCCTCGCGTTTCTCCAAAAGAAGGACGAGGCTTGTCGACGCGACAGCGCGCGCCCGCCGCCGCGCGACGTCGCGTACGTCGCGTCGCAGGCGCCCGCGGCGGCCCACGTGGACATTTGTGCCACGCTCAAGACCGCGAGCCTCGAAGGCTTGCCCAGCGACCTCCTGCCCAGGCGATGCGCGGCTTGCCACGGCGGGGAGCGCGCGCCATCTTGCGCGCGACACTTGCGGCGTAGCTCCGACCTCGTGGATGAGCTTGCCAGCGAAGTGGCCAAGCTTCGGAAGCGCGGCATCGAAAAAGGTTTCGTCAACGTGAAGCTAGCCAGGTGGCTGCCGCAGCACCTCGCCGGGCCCTTCGCGATGCCGACGAAGACGAAGCCAAGCTTTCGGAGGACCTGAAAAACTTAGCACAGGCGCAGCGCCTCACCGTCGCGTGCGCTCGCGCCGCGCCTATTTCCTCGCGCGAGGCCATGGGTGCGAAGGCGACGCCCAAGCGCGTCATGCCGACGCTCAGCCAATGGCACCTCGCGTGGAGTCGCTACGCGGTCGGTGCCCACGCCACCGGCCAGCTGAGCTACGCCGCGGCCGCAGCCCATCGCGTCGTCTGCATGGCGGTGGGCCTCGGGGCGGCCCGCAACAAGCGGCGGGTGCAGCTCGCGGTCTATTATGACGAGCAGGCCCGCAAAGATTGGGCGGAACGCTCGCGCTCTGGCGACCCGACCCTCGTGGCCCGCACGCGTTTTCTTGCGAATGTGTTTCCGCGCCGCGTTGGCCGCGCCGGTTGCGCGCAGGCAGATCGCGCGGCGAAGCGCGTGGACACCGCCATTCTCAATCGCGCAGAGGAGGCATACGATGCCGACGAAGCCGCAGCCAAGGCGGCGCCGGCTGAGTCGTCGGCAAAGGGCGGCACCAAGAGCGCCCAGGCCCCCTCGTCGCGTCGGCTCGCGCGGGGCAGCAGCCCCCACTCCCCACCTATTCTTTCGCGCGGCGCGTTCGCAAGTGGCGACGGGCAAAGCCGCCGCGGGGAAGGGCCACGGCTCCGCGAGCGGTGGCAAGAGCGCGCAATGGTCGGGAAAGCGCTGGAACAGCTGGGGCTCGGCGGGCGATTACCACGGGCACAGCTGGGGCGCAGCGGATCGCGGCGGGGAGGTGAATCGCAAGCCGCGCACGCCCCCGAGGGCCGTCAAGAGGGCCCGCCCGTAGCGCCGCAGCTCCAGGGCGCAAGGGGGCCGCGGGCGCGCGGAGCACGCGGTGGCGCGCGGGCTCGCGCGGTGTCAAGAGTGACAGCGCGGGGGCCGAACACTTGTCGTCGCGCGGTGCATGCGAATTTAGCCGAACAATAGTCGGCGCGATGCCTTCTCACTCTTCGCAACCTACGCAAAGCAATGCGGCGCGATGCTTGGGCCGGTCCGCGCCGAAATTGCGCGGGCAATGAAACGGCCGATAGTTCGGCTCGCGCGCCATGTCACATTGCAGCGGCCGCGGCACACGCGGGTCGTTCCGCGCGCTCGCGTTCAGGTCCGCCGTTCAGCTTTTGCTGCGACCCGACGCGATCGAGGCTACTTTGTTCGTCGCGTTTGTTTGCAATGCGCGGGCGGCTGCCGCCGCCTCCACCAGCGCCGCCGTCGGGGCGTGTTCCTGCGCCGCCAGCTCCCCCAGTCCAGCGGCGCTCACGGTCTCGCGGCGCGTCCTCGACGCAGGCCCCGCGCGCATCGCGCGGTCCGCAATGTTGCATGTCGAACTCCGCCTTGCAAGCGGCGAACGACTGGGCTGCTCGCGCGCCTCGCCAGGTGAACGCCGACGATGTGGGGAAGCTACAATTCGTCGACGACGCGTGCCGTGAGCAAGTCGATTTCGAGCCAGCCGTTGACGTCACCGCAGACGTCTGGGCCGCGGTGGAATGGGTGAACGCGCGCCAATCGGACCAGATTAATGCCGAAC